TAAAGTTACAACAAATAAAAAAAATGGAATCTCAAGAAGAATCTAGTTCGAGCCTTCAAAAAAGTATATACACTAACAAAACTGATAGCGAAAATAATAGTAATGATACACCTTCAATTACAAACATATTAACTGGACCTAAAAAAAAGAGAAATAGAAATAAGAAAAGTTTCATGTAGAAATACTTTAAAGTAATTAAGAAAAAAGATGGAAAAAAGATGTATGTCAAGTTATGGTTAAAAAAAATGGAGAAGACAAAAAATATGAAACAGAATACTTCTATGACAATTCAACATCAAATATGATTGCTTATCTAAGATTGCATAATATCGTAGATAATAAAAAACTAAAATCTGAAATACAACAGAATAGGTAAGCTACATTAACTGAAATGATCCGATCTAATACTCCATATAAGAGCGATAAGCAAAGAGAATTAAATAAAAGAGTTGTCGAATGGATACTTCTGAATAATCAACTACTATCAGCACCAAGAAAAAAAGGATTTTGTCGCATAATGGCAAAAGTTGATCCGAAGTTTCACCCACCTTTTGATAAAGTAATAAGGAATGAAATAACATTTAGTTACTTAAAAAATGTTAACACTTTTCGGCATGAGATTGAATTATCCTACAAAACTGCTACAATAACATCTGATTTGTGGACTTCACATAATAACCAAGGCTATATTGGAGTTACTTGTCATCAGGTAACTCCTAACTGGATATTATGCAGCATACTATTATGTTGTGAAAAATTATTTTACCTACATACTGCAGAATCTATTTATCAATTTATTCAAACAAAGTGTTCTAAATATAATTTAAAAAATAAAATTATATGCGCCATTACTGATAATGGCGCAAACATAGTAAAAGCTATTTGATTATAGAATACTGTCACCTGGCTTCCATGTGTGGCGCATACTCTACAGTTAACAGTTAGTTCTTCCTTAAAAAAAATTAACTCTAAAACTAAAAAAATAAGAAAATTAATTAATTTCTTTGATTCGCCTAAGCAACAAGAAAGACTAGAAAAGACTTAAATAAGAGTAATGGAGACAGATAGATTACCTTCACCTAATTTAATTAATACTAAATCTTATTTTGAGGAAGAAGATCTTGGCGAAGTTAATGATGATGTTAGTACAAATACGGAACGACTAAATAAAAATGTTACTTCAAAACCTCTTCGTCTATTTAAAGATTGCCCAACTAGGTGGAACTCCACCTATAAGTCTTGGAAAAGGCTTTTAAAACTAAAGGATGCAATCATATAGTTAGAGGCTAATTTAAAGATTTCGCGAAATTTAGATGATAAAAAAGATGGACAAAATCTTGCTTGCTGTTTACCTGATGAAAACAAATAGAGGTTAATTGAAGAATTAGTTAAGATCTTTGAACCATTCGACCAAGCTACTGAAGCATTTAGTGCTGAAAAGTTTCCTACATTGTTGGTTGTATATCCTATTATTGAAGTCTTAAAATTTGAATTTGCAACAAATCCAAATTTAACTTTAATTGAAGATGATTTTAATAAAGAATATGGGAAATTTTAATAATTATTTTTTTTTTTTATTATAAGTTATCACCAAAATATAATAATAATATTTACCTTTTTTTTTTTTTTATAATTAGATAGCAATAGCGATAGTGATAATGAAGAAGCTCAAACACTAGAAACTTATGATATCCAATCTATAATTGCTTGCGTTAAGCAAGCAATTTATAATTCACTTTGGAAATATTGGGGTGAACCAAAGTATACTAGTCTTTTAGCTACTTTACTTGACCCTCGGCTTAAAAGAATGCGTCCTTGGCCCAATCATCTACGTGAAGAAACAATAAGAATATGCCATGAAGAACTCGATAACATTATTGATGCAATACCTATACGATTCACTTCTACCAGTACTATTTCAACTAATCGTTATTTTGCATCAATATTTGATGATAATGATGATAATAATCTATTAAATACTAAGAATGAACTGAATAAATATTTAGAAGCGCCACTTGCATCACTATCAACTCGACCTTTAAAATGGTAGAAAGAACGAGAAAAAGGCTTTCAAAATTTAAGTAAATTAGCAAAGAAATACTTATCTATCCTAGCAACTTCGGTGCCAAGCGAGCACTTATTCTCAGATGCGGGAAATCAAGTAATACCAAAACGAACACGTCTTAGTCCAG